GAAACTTCTCCAATGATCCTGTCCTTAGCAGTGCCCCGGGAGGAAGAATGGATACTTTACACCCCTCAGTCAAAGGCCTCACCTTTAGAGCCTGAATTAGAGGAAGAATTCCCACTGGTCTGGGCAGAAGGAAATCCCCCTTTTCTGGCCAAAGACCATGCCCCGATACTAATTGACTTTAAGCCTGGGGCACAGCCTGTCAAAATCCGCCAATATCCAGTTCCAAGGGAAGCATGCCTCCTAGGAATTCAGGTCCACTTAGACCGGCTACTTCAGTGTGGACTCCTTAAAAGATGACAGTCACCATGGAATACTACCCTCTTGCTTGTCAGAAAGCCTGGACTAATGACTACCACTCCGTACAGGACCTGTGGGCTGTTAATGAGGCTGTTATAACCTTGCATTCGGCGCTGCCAAACCCCTATACACTTCTAAGACTCATTCCATCAGAAGCTGAATGGTTTACATGCCTAGATCTGAAAGATACCTTTTTCTGACTCCGATTAGCCCCTTTTGGCCAGCCCCGTTTTTCTTTTGAGTGGGAAAACTCAACTATGGGGGCCAAAAAGCAGTTCACCTGGACCAGACTTCCACAAGGATTCAAAAACTCCCCTACCCTCTTTGGTGGAGCACTAGCATCTGATCTGTGTAAGTTCCCAGGACAGGACTTAGGGTGCATTTTACTTCAATATGTAGACGACCTCCTTCCTACTAGCTCCACATGAGCTCAGTGCTGGGAGGGGACGTGAGCCCTCCTGAGACTGTTAACTGAAACACTAAAATGAAACACTGGAAAAAAATGAAATAATGCAAAGACATATAGTTAAAAAGCCAATAAATAAATAAATAAATAAATATGCAGTTCAAAACTATTCAGATAATCCAAAAGAGTACAGGAAAGAAAGGGCAAGGGGAACAAACAGAATAAATGCTAGCCCTAAATCCAATTATATCAATAATTTTTAAAAATGTAACTCATGTAAACACCAATTAAGAAACAGTCGTTTTCAGAATAAATAAAGAAATAAGAACCAAAGGCCAGATGGATTTTTACCAGGATTTCAAGGTTATATGAACTTTAAAACTCAATACACACAGGATGGGGCAAAAGTAGGTTTACAGTTGTTCCTATGGAAAATCCTATCTAATAAAAGACAAAAAGGGTAATCGACAGTACCTTCGCTATGCTTCCCATTGGCTAATCAGGGTGATATGCAAATTAGCTGCCAAGAAAGATGGCAGTTAACTGCCAACAAAGATGGCGGTTAATTTGCATACATAGGTGCAATGATGGGAGGCAAAAGGGGAAGGACGGAAGAACAGTGATCGGAAACCCAGGCAGCAGGCAAGAGCCGGGTGGCAGGGCAAAGGTGGCCTACTCTGCTGCCTCTCAGTGTTATTGTCTCTGGGACCAGCCAGGTCCCCTGGAGAGGAGAATGCTCTGGCTCCAAGGAAGATGCCGAACCAGGGAGCAGCTGCTCAGAGGGCAGGTCCACAGCCACTCTGCTGACCAGGATGAGCTGTGCTCTCACAGTGGGCTGAGCCCCACAGGCCACGCCCCCCACCACTGCATGAATCCCATGCACTGGACCCCTAATAATACAATAATAAACTCTGTTTTGCATACTCAAAACTGTAACCAACTTTTGCCCCACCCTGTATCATTCATTAATCAACAAACAAATAAATAAAAAGGCTCCTAATCACAGAAATAGATACAGACAAAATATTGTGACAAATTTCAGTATCAAATCGTGATAAAAATTCTTAACAAATTAGGAATAGAAAGGATTTTTCAGTCTAATAAAGTGGATAAAATAGTTCCGGTACATTTACACAATGGAATTACTACATGCTTCAAAAGGAAGGAACTCTTACCCTTTGTGTAATTCAAGAGGAAATAAATACATAAATACAGTGGAACCTTGGTTCTTGAACTTAATTTGTTCTGGAAGGCTGTTTAAGAAGCAATTTGTTTGAAAACTGAATCATTTTTTCCCATTAGAAATAATGTAAATTGAATTAATTCATTCCATTCCACAAATGATTCCCTGATTTAACCTTTCTTAAATACAGTACATATCTCATGTCCTGTTTAATCAATAAACAAACATTTCTCTTCTTAAATGTATCCAACCACCCCCTACTAGCCTTAAATGAGTCACTTCAGCACTTGTTACAGGTTGTCTTTCAGAAAGTCAGCATGCAGCTTCTTTGCTTTTTCACATATCACTGCCTCAGAAATGCTGCCACTGGCTAACTGCTTTTTGTTTATCCAAATCAACAACAGTTTTTCTACCTCTTCAATTGCCTGTGATTATTGCTTTTGAGCACTTTCATACCCTTAGCAACATTAGCACTCTTGATAGCCTCTTTATGTTTTAAAGTTGTGCTAATCATCCATTTCACCAGCAACAAAAGCAAAACAAAACAAAACAAAACAAAATCCCAAAAAACCCACAAAAATATTCACAGCACAATTTCTTGAGATCTTAATTCCAGGTTTTACAGTAAACTGACTCACATTCTCTCCTTTGTTTGTGGCTTGAGAGACACTTTTTATTATCTGCTTAAAAGGGTTGTCAGGTCCAGATCCAAAATTTTGTTCAACAACTGAGACTTGTTTTTTTCTGTGAACAGTTTGGTCAAAAACAGAATTGTTTGAGATAGGAGATGTTCACGAACTGAGGTTTGACTGTATATGTAGATAATAATAATAATCTACAAAAATCACTTAGAGCTAATATGTGAATTTATTGAGTTTAGGATACAAGGTCAATATACAAAATTGAATTGTATAACTATATTCTAATGAACAACTGAACATTTTAAAAAATACACCACCATTTGCAAAAGCACCAGCAACAAATGAAATATTTACATATAAATCTAAAAAATGTGTTAATACAAATACAGTGAAAGAAATTGTAATTTTATATTGCTACCTAGAACCTTCACTTTTTTTCTGTGGTACTCTACATTGACATATATGAGTGAATTATTTCCTTAACTAGTGAAATCTCAGTTTCTTAAATGAGTTATTAATTTTTTTCTGTCATTGAAAGTACAGATCCTGAATACACAGAACTTTAAATAAGCCAAATAGTTTGAAGGGAAAAAAAAAGAGTTTTGCCCAGAACAAGAGGACTAATTACATGATGAGCAGGTAAAAAAGGGCCCACCACTGTACACACAGACTCTATTCCTTGTCTCTAGGGAGATGAACTTTCTGGATGTCTATACTAATAAAATCTATATATATAAAAGCCTAAGCAACCAAACAATCAGTTGCTATGATGCTCACTGACCACCAGGGAGCAGACACTCAATGCAAGAGCTGCCCCCTGGTGGTCAGTGCGCTCCCACAGCAGGAGTACCACTCAGCTGACTGACAGGCGCCAGACGCAGGGCTTAGGGCTGGTTTGTGTCTGAGACCAGACTGGGTGGTGCTGAGGCCAGGATCCTAGTCTCAAGCAGCTCTGTTTCTCAAGATGGCTTGGTCTCTGTGCCCGCGCTGGCCACCCAGGAGTGTCCACGCTGGGAGTGGGGCTCCACCGTCTAACACTGCCCGGTTTAGCAGCTCCTTAGAAGACCTGCAGAATCTAACTGTCCCTAGGTCATACACACACACACACCACACACGTCCACACACTCCTCTATCACTCCCTCGTGCTCTCACACTCTCTCCCTCCCTACCTTCCTGCCGGTCACCATCTTCCTCGACCCCTACCACTCACATAGATTCTTAACATGACTGAAGACTTTTCTAAACATGAAACCTGATAGATTCAGCCCTGAGGCCATGGTTTGCTGGCCGAGGTGAAAGCTGGGGATGGATGCTTTCCATTGCCTTGTTTGTTGTGAAGCACTTGGCTCTCATCCAACCTGGAATGCTGGCAGACTCTTTATTACATATGCTTAATGGGACAGGAAATTAACACAATGGAAAAATATGTATTGCTGCCCAATCTCTGAGGGTACTTCATTTTTAACTAATTACAGAGAGGAAATATCTTGTTATTTTATAACATTTTTGATTACTCAAGTAATACATGTTTACTGTAGGAAAATTAGAAAAATACAGATAAGCAAAAAGAAGTATTTAAACGTCATATTCCATACCTAAAGATAATTGTTATTAATATTTTGATCCATAGCCTTTCAGACTTGTTCTTGTGTTTAGATTGTATCACATTGTTCACATTTTACAAATTGATTATCTACAATCAATTTTCTTTGATTTAATGATACATGATTAAAAACTTCCTCTGTTGGGGAAGGTAGGGGAGTGGGGATAAGAGATCAACCAAAGGACTTGTATGCATGCATACAAGCATAACCAATGGACACAGACACTAGGGGGGTGAGAGCATGTGTGGGGAGGGGGTGGTGGCTGGGGAGAGGTCAATGGGAGAAAAAGGAGACATATGTAATACTTGAAACAATAACTTAAAAATATAAACTTCCTCTGTTGAAAAAATGTTTTTACATTTTAAAATGGCTACATAGTTAGTTATTGTACTTCGTATAACCTGTTCATTTAATTCAAGCATGTCAAACTCAAAGGCTAACACGGGCCAAATAAATAAGGTTTAACATAATGTGGGCCACAAAACACAAAAGCTTCAATTTTCATAGGAATGTAGGTTTATTTTGATAGAAACATGCTGAATACAAAGGGCTGAAATAAATGAGTAATCGTTAACATAAAATAATAGAACATTTTAATAAAAATTAATATTTTTTCTTGAACATTAACTTATCAGACACTGAATAACTGCATAAATTAATAAGCGTTACGCAAATAAACCTATTTTTCTTGTTCTCTAAAAGCGAAATATTTCCGGTTGTGCACACCAAACAAGTCAGTGCAAGACTAATCACATGGCAATCGGCTGCTAAAATATTCACTGCCAGTATTAGTGGAGAGAAATGGCGTGCCTGTGTGTAAGGCGCATAAGTGAAATGAATGCAACACGATTATAGTAATAAGTCATTAGTGAACATTGTAGTTCGTTATTAATAATTATGTATAATAGGATACTGTAAAAATTAAGTTGTGAAATTTTTATTAAAACATTTCTTACATACCGTTATATTGGCTGGGCCACAAAAAAATATTCGTTGTGGGCCACATATGGTTTGCAGGCTGCGAGTTTGACATGCTTGGTTTAATTGAACCCTCTATTAGTAAACATTTCAAGTATTTCCAATTTTTACATATAAGTTGCATTGCAATAAACATTTTGAATTTAATGCTTTATACACATTAATTATTTCCTAAGTAAAAATTGCTTAACGTTTAATTGCTTTATCAGAAGGCCTGCATTTTTATATATTTTGATATATCTTGTCAAATTGTTTCTTAGGAAGGTTGTACCAACTTACACTTACCATAAAATTGTGTAAAAGTGCTAATTTTCCCTACTTTCTTGGCAATTTTAAGTATTATTACTTAAAAAATTCCTTACCAATTGTAATAGTTGAAAAATAGTATTACATTTCTTTGGTTATTGGCAAGTTTCAGCAATGATTTTATGTTTATTGTCATTTTTACTTTTTCTTGTATAAATTGTCTACTTTGACATTTATTTTATTGATAAAATAAATCAATGCCTTTCTCTTATTGAAATCATTATTTTTGTGATATCAATAACAATATGTTCCCTCATCCCCGAGAGGGACAAGTCTGAGGTTGGATCTGTCCTGTCATTGGAGTTCTCCTGAGGGACTGAACCAAAGCAGCCCTCTATGTGACTTGGCCTGATTTCCGACATCTTTCCTTCCCATTTCCCACTTCCTTGGGAACATTTCCTATTAAATCACTTTCCACACAAATGCTCCTTGTTGGATCAGCTTCTGGGGAATGCCCTCTAAGGTTTTCTCTGTACTATTTGTTAGTAGTTGAGTTAGAGCAGTGGTCGGCAAACCCTGGCTCGCGAGCCACATGCGGCTCTTTGGCCCCTTGAGTGTGGCTCTTCCACAAAATACCACATGTGGGCGCGCACGTACAGTGTGATTGAAACTTCGTGGCCCATGCACAGAAGTCGGTTTTCGGTCTGGGCGAGTCTATTTTGAAGAAGTGGTTCGGAAGAAGTGGGCGGTGTCGGTCGGTTGGGTGACGGGAGATGTGGCGCAGGCGGGCAGTGGGATACACAGCGCGGGGGAGGTGCGCGTGATTCATGCACGAGTTGAGTGAGCCAGTCAGTCAGCAGTCTCATATGCAGTGGTTAGTACTAGTCATGTCAGCAAATCGCGCACAGGTGACCAAAGTACCTACTCGAAGCATAAAGTTACCTGTATTTTTCCAACCAGCTGCAAATCCTACAGGTATTTTTGTCATCAATTTAATAATTGTAATTATTTTGTGTTGGTGGCTTTATTATTATAAAATGAAACATTTTTT